GAGCCAAAGATTATTCAGAACAGTCTGAGTTGCAAAGACCTCTAGTGTTGGCTAATTGATCATAGCCTCTCTAGGAAAGAAATAGATGGGAAGCATACTAAATTCTTGTTTCGTATGTTTAAACAGAAAGGTTATAGGTCTAGTGAACAGAAATGTGGCTTGAATCACCAAGATAAGGAGTCATAGCCCATCAGTTGATTCCCAGAGTTGAGCCAGTTCACAGACCTAGAACCCCTTGAATGAAGGAAAAGCCATGTCCCCTGAGGGAAAGTTTTGTTATATTGCCAAAAAGGATATGCTATTAATCATTCTCCCAGCCTTCCCTAAAAGGGAAACTGTTTATGGATCTGTTTCTATTGACTAATTTTTCTCTTGATTATGAACCAAATTCTCCTGTTTCTTCAAGTCTTATAATTCTTATTTTATGCCATAGATTATGTCTAAGGAATGATACTAGGTGAAGTTAGTTTTTGCTGTTATTTTCCAAAGTAATGTATTTTCCTTTGTTAGGCAGCTAGAGTTATGGGCTGGTCAGTTCAATCCAATCAGGAGTTGAGCAGGTTTAGATGGGTTTGTGGCTTTAATCCCTCTGTGAGGTACCTGAAATTCAATCACAGGGCTAAAAGATCTTGCATTTGTTTTTAAGCCCAGCCACTACTTCCTGTGCTGCTCCAGTGCTCATATCTTTGATCATAGAAGAAGTTGAATAAGGTAAGGGTTTGGTTAGATTGAGTTCACTTTTGGCTCTAAATTATTTGAAAATGAGCTCAAGTCTCTTTCTCCAGATGTCTGGAACCAAACACTACAAGACTGCTAGACATCAAAACTGCAAGACCTCAAAACTGTCAGACCACAAGACTGCAGGTGGCTTCCCCAGAACCAGGCACAGGGCATGGTGCATAATCCATTCTCTCCAAATAAGAAGTTAGGAGAGCACAGTGGTTATGTACACCAATTCTGGAGCTTGAATTCTTGCATTCAAGTCATAGCTCCAATGCTTTTGAGCTCACTGACCCAGAACATCATTTAGGCTTCTGTGTCTCAATATCCCTATCTGGAAAATAGGGTAATAAGACCACCTACTTTGTAAGGTTTTGTGATGGTTAAATAAATATAGTAAGTGTTACATAAGTGTTAGCTGTGGGGTTTTGTGACAACTATGATCCTTTTCATCCATGGAAGGAAATTGTTGAGGGTGACCAGAAAATGGAGGCAAAACAATGGCAAAGATTTCAGAAACTTCTCAATCACAGCCATGGTTAAAAGTCCTCACTGCCTTTCCTGATGGAATTAGATTGGTCCAATAAGTCTGCATAGCCTATCGTTGCTGAAGCAGAGCTGCTCAAGTGCCCCACCACCACCACCATCACCACTGCGGTCTTTAATTCATTGCATTTTGTCACTTCTTTGGCCCCTTCCTCCCTTCTTTAAGGCTCCAGACTGCAGGAGTTAGGTCCAAAGGTAGAACTCTGGAAGAAGAGAAGCTGTGACTTAGCAAATCTTCCCCGACTTGGCCTGCCAACAGTAAAGGCTCTCCCCGCTTCTACCCCTACTTTAATCATGCCTGGGAGAGAACAGCCCAAAAAGTCCCAGACATTTCGAACAGAGCTTGCCACTCTCTGTTGAGAACAATTCCCAGCCCCCATCTGTGGATGACTTTGTCTCCCAGCTTTCTTGCCTATTAAACACATGACAGCACAGTGACTAATTGCTGGGAAATGAAGCCCTGAAGAATCTAGTTCAAAAGAAGCTGCAACAAGATTGTCAAAAGAAGAGAGCTGGCCAGGAGTGGGATGGGAGCCCAGGGCTTGGGGCTTGGGAATACAGCCCCACTGGCAGGCAGCTGAGGCACCAAGCCCAGGGCCTGTCAAAGACGCTGAGAATTCAGAGCTGGGATCCGGGAGGTCAGGAAGCTGGCCCTCTCCATATTGAGCAGAGCCCTCAGTAGGCACACATCTGTCACTTCTGTTCCCATTCCAGATTCCATCCTTCTTAGAGGCCCTGTGATGGAAGGCCACAGCCCTCTCCCTAGTCCCTGCTCTCTGAAGGCTGAGTACAGACGGCATCCTCTCTGGATGGAACCATGGGATGGAAGAACAGAAGTGTCCAGAATTGCCTCCAGCCGTGCTCTCCAGCCCCAAACAGTGCCCTTTGCCAAACTCGGCACTTCTTGTTTGTATTTGCAGCCTAATCAAGCCCAAGCCATCCCACACCATGTTTCCTAAACACTCGCTGATCGCTATTAATCAGCAAGCTGGCCGTGCTGCTGCCTGCCCTGTGAGCATCTTGTTAATGACAGGAGAAGACTGCCAAACAGCCAGCTCGGCTCCGGATGGTGAGATATGGGTCTTGCCCAGACTGAGGAGGCAAAGGCATCGCTGTGAGCAGTCTGGCACAGGCTGGAGATCCCTGGCACAAGATAACGAGAAATGAGCAGGCCCTCTCTCTTTCAAGAACAATGTTAAGAGTGCATCCACTCATCCCCCTCCTCTTTTCCTACCAGGTAACCTTGGACACCTAAAACAGGGTGGAGGGAATGCTTGGGGTGAAGGAAGGCCAGCTAGCCACTCCTACATTGGAGACCTAAGCCAGGATCTAGAGCTGGCTGGCAGCAGCAGGAGGGATTTAAGCTAGGCAATCAGAAGTGCTTCCTGATGTGAAGGATTGCTAAAACTATGCTAGGACAGGTTACCAAGAAAAAAATGTTATCTGCAACTTACGGATCCTTTACTCCAACTTAATTAGCTCAGTCTACATTCTGTTTATATATGTTCATGTGCAGATTTGATTTTTCTATCAATACACAAAATTGAGGGAGCCTGTTGGTGTAATATTTATTTGATGACCTTTGGTGTCCTCTCCCAAGGGAGATCATACCTTGCTGGACACCTGGTCATGGTCCTGACCAGGCATCATCTGAGTGATGAGATTAGCAGCCATGTCAATAAGCCTTTGCAAATCAGGCGATGTGCCAAGCCCTGAGTTAGAGGCTGAGGAACCAAGTCCTGAGGAATTATAGAGATTAATAACAGCACAGGAGAGCACATCCCAGGTGCCAAAGTGGGGCCCAGCAAGAGCATAGCAATTTAGAGGGAGGTGTCAGAGAAGGCTCTGTGGGGGAGTGGAGACTGAAGACTGGGGAGGAGTAGGCATGAGGTGCACATCGTGGTTGGTTGGTTTCTGTGGGGGGCGATTTCAGGCAGGTCCAAGGGGAGGCCTCTGAGGGGTCCTGGAACTGCTGTTTCTTCCTAGAAATCTGCCCTGAAATAGGTGTGCAGAGCCACAGGCCTATTAGAATTTGTAACAACCTATTCTTTAATTAGGGGCAGGGTCTTGAGGAGGTAAGCTCTTGAAGGAGTTCTTTCTGCCTCCCAGAACCTCTCACAGGTCTAGGACAGGGCTCTGTACACCATCTCAACCCCCACCCTCATGGGGACCACTGTCATATAAGGTACAACAGCTCACCCGCCCACCCTGAAAGGGCATTTGATCCACAAGAGCTGCAAGCTCAGCTACCCAGGCCCTCCTGGGCCAGGATCCCCAGAACTAAACACAAGGCCCAATCTCCCCACCCCCACCCCACTGCAGGCCCCAGGCCTAAGCTTTTATATGGAGAGCAGTTCTCAGTGGGCCAGGCTGAACCCCTGAGCCTAGAAGTAACTGAGGGACCCTGTCTATACTCTCTACTTCCACATGGAATGACAAAGGAACCAGCAGGAACAAAGGCAACATTTCCAGAAAGAAAGAAAGAACTGTTTTAGAAACTGTATGGCATTGTAGTTACGCATGAAGCCCCCGAGCCCGAAACGTGAAGGTTTGATTTCTAGCTCTGCCATTTATTAGCTCATGACCTTGTGCACAAAGGAACCAGCAAAGATGAACAAAGGTTGAATGATGCCTAAGGTCTTACTTCGTCATCTGTAAAATGGGGACAAATAATAATACCAACCTCATAGGGCTGACCTGAGGAATAAATGAACCAATAATATCAAATGCTTGGAACAAAACCCAGCATGTTGAAAGCACTCAAAAACAAAACCAAAAAATGCTGGCTATTATTATTAAGCAGGTCATTTCAATCCAGAAAGGGTTCACAGAAGCACCTAATTGGAAGGGAGAGCTTCAAGACTTATTTTGAAAATTCATTTGCATAGCAAGCAAACCTTTGTTTCCTTTTCAATGTTTCTTCATACCATCAGGGGATAATAGAACTATTTTCTTCATAGGGTTCTCAGGAGGATTAAATGAAATGATACATACATTGTGCTTGGAACAGGCAGCACTCAGTTGATGTTAGTTGTTTATTGGGGTGGCTTGAAGAAGTGTTGGCGGTGATAAGGGCAGGGCGGGGGTAGAAGTACCATTGTGCCCACAGGACAGCGCAGACCTCTTGTCAGGAAGCTCTGTTCTGTGCTACAGCTCACATAAATCTTCCCCGCTATGGTGTGAGACAAGCATTTACACATAAGGATTTCCTGAGAATCAATCAGGGTGTCAGACCCGGGCCAGATTTCCAAGGAAGCTTGCTGCATTTTTTCCCCTGGAGACACTCATTGGTCTAGGACTAACCTAAGCGTTCACGTTCATCCCTGCCTGAAGGCCAGATATCGTGACCTCCAGAAGGACCTTTTGGCCTCAGGACCCTAGCTGCAAAGCATCTGAGCTCCTAGAGCAAGGACCAAGGACATCCAGTCCACCTGGATCACCTGGACTGAGGGTCGGGAAGAGACACAGGTGCCAGACCATAAAACAAAGCAACCCTGAGCACTCCTTGCTTACCACTGAGAAACAGACACACACTTCCACCTACTCACCTGCTCCAGGCCTGGCCCTGACTTCCCCCCTCTGCTCCCCAGGGGTCCCATGGATGGAGAGAGGATCAGGGGCTTCAGGACACTGGGAGAACTCACTTCATGAACACACTATACTTTCCCAGAGAACAGTGATGAAAATGCAGGGCCAAGCTGCCCCCATTCAGATACCGGCTCAGGGTAGTTTACCTCGTGGATCCCAAAGTGGGCATAGGAGTCGAAGTAATAATCTCTCGAGGTCATCTCCTCTGGGTTCAGCAGCTTGGACATCTTGCCCCGTCCTGGACAGCTAGGTTGAGTGGACACATTGTGGACACACTGCACAGGCTTGGGCGGGATGACAGGCTGAGGGGGTTGAGAGGGGGGACTGCTCACCTGGGGGGAAAAAGGGGGCCTGGTGTTAACAGTGGCAGCGAGGGCCTGTCCTCTGAGATTTCGACCCTGCTCCCTTCCCGCTCCCTGAGCCCAGCTCCTGTCGGCCACAGCAGCCACTCCTGAGGGNATATGTTGTGTGTCTCAGTTCAGGCTGCCATACAGAATACCATAGACTGGGTAGCTTAAAAAACAAATATTTATTTCTCACAGTTCTGGGGCCGGCCGAGTGGCTCAGTTGGTTAAGAGCTCGCTCAAGAGTTTGAGCTCTGAGCAACAGCAGTTCAATTCCCAGCCCGAGCTGAGCAGCCGCTGAGCTTCCAACAGATAGCAAGATGGCTCAGCTTAACAAAAAACAAACAAACAAACAAACAAACAAACAAACAACAAAAAAAAACAGTTCTGGAAGCTTGGAAGTCCAAGATTAAGGTGCCAGCAGATCCAATATCTTGTGAGGACCTGCTTCTTGGTTTGCAGATGGTTTTCTTCTTGTATCCTCACATGACATAGAGCAGAGTGAGAAAGCAAACCCTCTTGTCTCCTCTTCAAAGGGCACTAATCCCATTCATGTGGGCTGACCCTTGTGACCTAGTTAACTACTAAAGGTCTCGCTTCCTAATACCATCACATTGGGGGCGGGGAGGGGTAGGATTTCAACATACAAAATTTGGGGGGACAACTTTAGTCCATAGCTTTGTGATTTTACTATCATTCCATTTGGAATATTTTCTAATTTCTCATTATTTCTTGCTGATCCTGTTCTCAGTGCTGCTTAATTCCCAAATATTTGGAGATTTTCTAAATAATGTATTGCTTTTAGTTTCTAATCTAATTCCATTATGATAAAGAAAACACTCTGCATGATTTCAATCTTTTGAAACTCATTGAGATTTGTTTATGGCCCAGCATATGACCTACCTTAGTGAATCTTTCAATGTGCACTCAGAAAGAATGTGCATTCTATTGACTGGGGATGCAGTGTTCTGTAAGTGTCAATTAGGTCAGATTGTTTATGTCAGAAAATTGTTCAAATTTTCTACAGCTGTACTGATTTTTTTGTACATTTGTTCTATCGATTACCAAGATAGAAGTGTTAAAACAAATCTTTAACTGTGGTTGAGGATTTGTATTTTTCTCCCTCTGGTTCTGTAGATTTTGCTTCATGTTTCTAAAGCTCTGTACACACATGTTGAATGGCTTTGTATAATAACATGTCACTTTGGCCACCTGAGAGATATTTCATAGAATTCTCTTTCTACTATGTTTCTAGTTAGGATGAGTCACAAGGGAGACTCTTGTGAGATTTGGAAGGTACGAAGGAGGCAGGAACCATCTTATAGTGCGCCCATATCAGTGCCTATGTGTTGATTCACCTCATTAGCATGAAGCAGCAGCTGGGCCTGCAATTGTTCTGCCTTCTCCTCCAGCTTCTCTGACTCCTGGGTTGGCTGTGCGTGTTTAGCTCCATGGTGAAACACCCCAGGCTCTACAGGATATGTTCCACAAAGGTCAAAGGCAATACAATAAACATGTGTTTCGGCCTGTCCTCACAGGGTTCAAGTTTGTGCCTACGGGTGCTAGGTGTTCCTAATCTCCCCTTATTTTATAATTTTATATCCATATTCCTTTTCTGACTGCCTGTCCTGTAGACTATATATATATCCTACTGGATTAGCTTTAGAGTTTGGTACCAAGACTAGCTCCTGAGAAACAAAATCGAAGGAGGGGTTCTCTGAATTGGTTCTGAGTTTTAAAAGCACTAATAAGTCTATTGCCATTGGTAAAGAGGGCATTGGTAGTCAATAGCATGAAATGGCAAAGGAGTTACTCAAGTTTTAGCTTTAGATATCTGTAATAAAGTACCTATAGAAAACAAGACTGGATGACCAAGCATTTGCTACCTTAGCATATTTTAGTAAAAATAAGAAGTATAATGGGGTGGGCTGGTTGATTACTACTAACTATGTTAGAAAACTTGGAAAAAGAAAATCATGAGCACGGGCATTTAAATTTCCTAGCTCAGGGTCTGTATATAGTACCTAAAACTTTCTATGACTTCTCTGAAAAACAAAACAAAACTTATTTCCTACAGGTGCAGGGCCAAGATTTCTGAAAACCAAATCCAAAGTCTAATCCTACAAATACCTGAATTATGACACAAATTGAATTCACATCCTTGCAGGGTCTGTTTTGTTAAAGTTGAGGCACCTGTTGGGAAGAAATGAGATCCTGAACATTGGAAGGGGAGCATATGGGAAAATTCTGATGAAACTGGGACTTCAAGTCCCTAAATTACACAAGAGTTATTCTTTGCCAGTAGAAGCACCTCTACCCCTGCCTGAGGGAGTTTCCTTTTCCTGGGGAACCATATTGGTCTCCCTTGGGGTACTTGCTTGCAAGATACTGCTGATCCTCCTCTGGACCTACCCCCAACCCCCAACCTTTCCTGCTGCTATCCCTACAACTAGATTCAACTCCAAGCAAGCCCTGCAGGGTATAAAGTGTGACTAATGGGGGGGGGTGATACACACCAAAAGAAATACGTGCTGTTTCTGGTTTATACAGATTGAAAGCTGGTGGACATACAGAGGGTGTCAAAAAAAATGTATACACATTTTAAGGAAAGAAAAAATCTGTATTAATTGTAATACTAAATATATACCAATAACAAAAGATGAACACAAGTCACGTTTGATTTCTGCAGTTATAAGAGGTGCTCAAAGTGGTTACCATTAGCTTCCAGACATTTCTGATTATGGCAAACTGCTTGAGCATAGATAACATCTCTTAAAATGTGTATACATTTTTTTGGCACCCCTGGTATATAGAAATGTATATTAAAGGTGTGGGATCAACATGGAAGGAATATAAAGTTGGACTGGCCCAAGTTTATTGATATATGACCACTAAGCAGAGATTCAGGATTCACCATTGTAGCTCTAGGAGCTTGAAATGCTTCTAACTGTTGGTTAGGCTGGTTGACTGAAACAGAGGCCCAAAGTTAGCCTATACTAAATGAAATGTCAAAACTTTCTCGGTATGCTGAAGGGAAGGCTTAAGGAGATTGGAAAGTAAGAGTGCATTTGTCATGTGAGACCTACTCACCAACAACAGAGAACCTTTCACCACGGCTGTGAGAAATAAATTTGCAAGGGGAGTACAGCATCCTTGAAGAACTCTGTGGTTGTTCTTCTTTACCATTCAGCTATTACAGGAGGAATTTCTACTACCAAACTGAGATCCTTAAATGCAATGGGAATAATATCTAACTGGGATCCTGAGGTAGCAGGGGCCAAATTGCAGCAGTTAATCACCAAAGATGAGGTGGATGTCATTACTATAAAAGACACGGGAGCCAAAGATTATTCAGAACAGTCTGAGTTGCAAAGACCTCTAGTGTTGGCTAATTGATCATAGCCTCTCTAGGAAAGAAATAGATGGGAAGCATACTAAATTCTTGTTTCGTATGTTTAAACAGAAAGGTTATAGGTCTAGTGAACAGAAATGTGGCTTGAATCACCAAGATAAGGAGTCATAGCCCATCAATTGATTCCCAGAGTTGAGCCAGTTCACAGACCTAGAACCCCTTGAATGAAGGAAAAGCCATGTCCCCTGGGGGAAAGTTTTGTTATATTGCCAACAAGGATATGCTATTAATCATTCTCCCAGCCTTCCCTAAAAGGGAAACTGTTTATGGATCTGTTTCTATTGACTAATTTTTCTCTTGATTATGAACCAAATTCTCCTGTTTCTTCAAGTCTTATAATT